AATGATAATATAATGGCTTGTTTTGACCACAATATATTGCCAAAACCGGTAAAATCTTTCATTTTCATGGGCAAAAAAAATTATGGATACGTCTTTAAGGGCAAGAGAAATTTTAGATTTTTTTCATTTTTTTTTCACAACCTTCTTGTATTTCATGATGAAAAGTGGTATCAGGTGTCTAGAATACAACTTTATTCTTTTGTAGACTAGCTGCTTGTTGGCAGTTTATTGTCCTATTTATATATCATATAAATATTAGACAATTTTGCTGTTATACTCTACAGCTATAACCAAACTAAAACTGTATATTACATGAATATTAGAAAATTTTGCTGTTATACTCTACAGCTACAACCAAACTAAAACTGTATATTACATGAATATTAGTCAATTTTGCTGTTATACTCTACAGCTACAACCAAACTAAAACTGTATATTACATGAATATTAGTCAATTTTGCTGTTATACTCTACAGCTATAACCAAACTAAAACTGTATATTACATGAATATTAGTCAATTTTGCTGTTATACTCTACAGCTATAACCAAACTAAAACTGTATATTACATGAATATTAGTCAATTTTGCTGTTATACTCTACAGCTATAACCAAACTAAAACTGTATATTACATGAATATTAGTCAATTTTGCTGTTATACTCTACAGCTACAACCAAACTAATTTGACCTTGGTAAAATATTTTAATATAAACAATAGTTGTTTGTAATGTATTCTAATGTATGCCATATTTATTTACTATTAGTGGAATATAGTGACCTTTATTGGTATTTAGGTTATAAATAACACAGAGCAATTAATAGTCAATAATAGTACTGCATTAGGCCAACAAATCTGTACTTTGCTTTAAAGGTACGCTACCTCTTAGGATGACTAAAAAAAGAAATTTTAAAACTTGGTTAAAATAAGTCTTTGTTCATCAGTGGACTTACTTGGTGTCAAAACTATACAACAGAATCTCTCTATAATCTAATAAATCCATTAAACTATGTAATAATTCATTAAACTAAGTAATAATTCATTACACTAAGTAATAATTCATTAAACTAAGTAATAATTCATTAAACTAAGTAATTTTGAAACAAGCTTAGAAGTGTTTTTTAATAATTATTTAGTTTAATAGATATATCGTGTTATATAGAGATTCTATTCTTTAGTCATGACACCAGGTAAGACCAACTGATGAATATATACACTTATTGACCAAGTTTGAGACTTTAAATTTTATGTTCGTTCTAAGAGGTAGTGTACCTTTAATGGAGTGACCCTGTAAAATGTCTAAGGTGACTGAAAAATGTAAAAAAATACTTACGAGAAAGTCAAACACACTCAGACCTAACATTTCAAAGCATATACACATATGACCATGAAAATCGAACCAATCATACATTTTTACACATAAACTGAAACAGAAAATGCAGTGTACAATGAGGAAAATTTTTGAGAATATTAAGGAGTAGTTAGTAAGTTTTTGTCAAGTTTTACATCAATGGATTATCAAAAAGAAGGTTGTGGAGAAACTGCAACATTTCCGGTTGATTCAATAAAGACCGTCATTTGCAATCACCATCCTTTTACACCAAATGTTACGAGATTTCTGATTGGATAAACTAAATAGTGACGTATGGTTTGCCAAATATGGGATTGTGAGAGCAACGGTTAGATGTGAATAATCATGGCGTTGGGCCTAATTTTTATATCAAATGTTACGAGATTCCTGATTGGATAAACTTAATAGTGATGTATGGTTTGCCAAGGGAGATCATTAGTCTCTAATGACGAGAATATGAGATTGTGGGAGCAACGGTTAGATGTGAATAATTGTACCGTTGCTCAATAAATACTTACTATTTATTTTCATGGTCTTTTTCTTTTAATTTTTCTAAAACATTTATTTCCAGTTTGGCAGCCTCTCTGTATTTTTCTACGTTTTTGATTATTTTCAGAGCCACCCTGTTGCCGGGCCTGAAAAATACAAAATATACAAATTTAAACACAAATTTATTCCATCATTGAAAGACATAATTCCTTTAAAAATATCTCAAACTAGGAATTTTACTCACTATTTCTATAGATGTCTTTTCTATATATCACAGTGTCTCAAGAAAAGACGACTCGTCTTTTTAACTTTCAAACGCGAATAATTCTGGACACACATAGATTTGAAGGCTTCAAGCTAAACTAAGCTAATCATTAATAGTGTTCACAGCTCACTGTCGAAATTTGAGCCTTCAAATCCATGTGTGTCTAGAATTATCTGCATTTGAAAGTTAAAATGACGACTCGTCTTTTCTTGAGACACTGTGATATATAGAAAAGATATCTATAGAAATAGTGAGTAAAATTCCTAGTTTGAGATATTTTTAAAGGAATTATGTGATTTTGGTACATTTCTAGTACTTCTGAAGACTATTTACATATATTCAAGACTCAAATCAACACCTCAAAAATGGCGCAACTGTCCCTTTAACAATCCCTTTAAGACTTTGATAGGAAAAGAAAACTAAAGACATAATGGTCTTATTTGTTTAGTGGGCTGGAAAATTAGATTAGAGGCAACCAAGCCACTAAAAATGATGGGTGCTAGTGAACCATGTAATAATCTAAACTGTCTAACTAAACAAAACACCAATAGATGATAAAACAATATCATCTTGTGCCTAGGTGTTGAATTCTTTTAAGTAATTGTGTACAACACTGTATAAAAGCCTATGACTGTACACAATTACTAGAACAATTATATTTCACAAGGTTAATAACTTAGGTTCACAAAGGATCCTTTCTACCAGCTGGTCCTTGACTAAACCTCTTAGCAATGATCTTTCCTAGATTATCTGTACCCATTTACAGCTGGGTTGACTGAAATAATGAGGATCCTTTCTACCAGCTGGTCCTTGACTAAACCTCTTGGTATTGATCTTTCCTAGATTATCTGTACCCATTTACAGCTGGGTTGACTGGTATAATGAGGATCCTTTTTACAAGCTGGTCCTTGACCAAACCTCTTGGTATTGATCTTTCCCAGATTATCTGTACCCATTTACAGCTGGGTTGACTGGAATAATGAGGATCAAGTCTACCAGCTGGTCCTTGACTAAACCTCTTGGTATTGATCTTTCCTAGATTATCTGTACCCATTTACAGCTGGGTTGACTGGAATAATGAGGATCCTTTCTACCAGCTGGTCCTTGGACAAACCTCTTGGAATTAATCTTTCCCAGATTATCTGTACCCATTTACAGCTGGGTTGACTGGAATAATGAGGATCCTTTCTACCAGCTGGTCCTTGGACAAACCTCTTGGAATTAATCTTTCCCAGATTATCTGTACCCATTTACAGCTGGGTTGACTGGAATAATGAGGATCCTTTCTACCAGCTGGTCCTTGACCAAACCTATTGACATTGATCTTTCCCGGATTATCTGTACCCATTTACAGCTGGGTTGACTGGAATTATGAGTGAAGATGACTTATTCAAGGTCATCTGACTTTCACAACCCGATCGAGATCGGAACCCACAACAGCCATTTACTCGACATAACCAAGCAAATGATGTCACGCTAAAAACCAACATTTGTATTCAAATTCAGTAATTGTATTCAAAATAAGTAATTGTGTACATCACTGCTCTACAAGCCCATGAATGTACAAAATTACTTAATGCTTAAAAAGTAATTGTATTTAAAATAAGTAATTGTATTTAACATAAGTAATTGTATATAAATAAGTAATTGCATACATCACTGCTCTACAAGCCATGACTGTACACAATTACTAGATGCAAATAATAAAAAGTACTTGTATTCAAATTAAGTAATTGTATTCAAATTAAGTAAATGTATTCAAAATAAGTAATTGTATACCACACTGCTCTACAAGCCTAAAACTATACACAATTACTAAATGCTTAAAAAGTAATTGTCTCTAGTAATTGTAATGAGTAAATGGTAGACTCATCACAAGAAATCGGTGATCTGGTATTTTGCCAGAAACCAGCCAGCCTTATCACTGACAGACAGGATATCTAAATAGCTTATCATAGCCATTGATCTTTTTATTACTATTTACTTGATTGATTGACAGCAATGATTGAATGAATGATAGGGATGAATTAATGAGTGATTGAGTGAAAAAATACCAAGGATGGACAAATGAATGGCAAGGAGGAATGAGTGAATGAATGACAGATTGATGAATTAATGGCAGGGAAAAATGAATGATTGACAGTAATGAATGAATGACAGTAATGAATGAATGACAGTAATGAATGAATGGCAAGGAGGAATGAATGACAGGGATGAATGACAGTAATAAATGAATGTAATGAATGACAGTAATGAATGACAGTAATGAATGACAGTAATGAATGAATGACAGTAATGAATGACAGTAATGAATGAATGACAGGGATGAAGAAATGGCAGGGATGAATGAATGACAGTAATGAATGAATGACAGTAATGAATGAATGACAGTAATGAATGAATGACAGTAATGAATGAATGACAGTAATAAATGAATGTAATGAATGACAGTAATGAATGAATGACAGTAATGAATGACTAATGAATGAATGACAGGGATGAAGAAATGACAGGGATGAATGAATGACAGGGATGAAGAAATGACAGGGATGAATGAATGACAGTAATGAATGAATGACAGTAATGAATGAATGACTAATGAATGAATGACAGGGATGAAGAAATGACAGGGATGAATGAATGACAGTAATGAATGAATGACAGTAATGAATGAATGACACGGATGAAGAAATGACAGGGATGAATGAATGACAGTAATGAATGAATGACAGTAATGAATGAATGACAGTAATGAATGAATGACAGTAATGAATGACAGTAATGAATGAATGACTAATGAATGAATGACAGTAATGAATGAATGACAGTAATGAAGGAATGACAGTAATGAATGAATGACAGTAATGAAGGAATGACAGTAATGAAGGAATGAATGAAAGGAGTAATCAATAAAATGAATGACAAAGATGAATGAATGACAAAGATGAATGAATGACAAAGATGAATGAATAAAAAAAGGAAAGAATGAATAAAAGGAGGAAGGAATGAATAAAAGAAGGAAGGAATGATTAAAAGATGGAAGGATGAATAAAAGGCAGGAAGAAAAAGAAATGAGGGAACAATCCATGAATTAATGACAGGATATAAATGACAAGGCAGGAAGAAATGAAGGATGGAAATAGAGAATAGAATAAACTATAGGACATTAAGATAAATCTAGTTATAAAGACAGATATGATTGAAGGCAATGGTGGAATGAGAGATGAATGAATGAAAAAGTAATACATCAATGACAGAGTACTGAAGTAAGGAATGAATAAAAGAATGACAGAAATAGTAATAAAGATGAATGAACGAATGAAGAATTTCTCAAATTGGATGAAAACCTATCAGGAAAGCAAACTGGCATAAAAGTTGACAAACTCAATAGCAGAATGGCATCTACTTTCTGTTTGAAAGTAAAATGACGACTCGTCTTTTTTTGAGACACTGTCATATATAGAAAAGACATCTATAGAAATAGTGAGTAAAATTCCTAGTTTGAGATATTTTTAAAGGAATTATGCAATTTTCGTAAATTTCTAGTACTTCCGAAGACTATTTACATATATTCAAGACCCCAAAAAATTTTTTTTTGAAATAGCACACTTGTCCCTTTAACTCAAAATGGACGGAAAGTATCAAGAAAGTGTAAGAATTATGCGATTCCTTACATTTCTAGTACTTCTGTAGACTAATTATATATATTCAAGACCCCCCAACAAAAAATCTGAAATGGCACACCTGTCCCTTTAACTCAAATTGGTATGAAGAAGGTGTAAGAATATAAGTATATGTGAAAGGAATGTAATAAATGTTACGTGGGAGTATATGGGGTTAATTTTGGCAAATGTCCATCAATACGGCCTCTCTCTATCTACTATATTCTATCTCTAGACTATATTGACTGATGGCATTGATTGTATTTAGTCTGTCATCATCTATACTCATTCAATCAACTTCAACAGCTAACAGACAGCCTGTTCTTTTACAATCAATGTGATATGATATACTATCATGTTCAAAACACGATAAATCAATCAATGTGATGATATGATATACTATCATGTTCAAAACACGATAAATCAATCAATATGATATACTATCATGTTCAAAACACGATAAATTAATCAATATGATATGATATACTATCATGTTCAAAAGACGATAAATCAATCAATATGATATACTTTCATTTTCAAAAGACGATAAATCAATCAATATGAAATAGTATCATGTCCCAAACACGATAAATTAATCAATATATGATATGATATACTATCATGTTCAAAACACGATAAATCAATATGATATACTATCATGTTCAAAACACGATAAATCAATCTATGTGATATCATACTATCATGTTCAAAACACGATAAATCAATCAATGTGATATCATACTGTCATGTTCAAAACACGATAAATCAATCAATGTGATGAGATATCATAATGTCATGTTCAAAACACGGTAAATCAATCAATGTGATGAGATATCATACTGTCATGTTCAAAACACGATAAATCAATCAATGTGATATGATATACTGTCATGTTCAAAACCAGAAAAAGATATATGTGGACTCTCAGAAAGGGATGCTGAGCTGACCAACTCATTGTAGTGTGGCCTCAAGTGTTGGATATGAACAAGCTCTAACTTCCCAGCCACATCTACCACAATTCCTAGACAATGTATCAAAGAAACTTTATTGAAGGACAGTTATTGAAAACTCAGGCACCTTTGTAAGACCATAACATCATTTGAACAGTGAATTTAAAAAGATTTCACTTTATCCTAGTTTAAAATTCATTTTCTACAGAATATTCGGTCAAAGAAAAAATAAGTCAATTTCTTTGAAAATCTTGGCTTGCGTTCAAAAATTTGGAAAACACGTCTTCAAGCTAGTATTCCAGTGTTTTAAACATCAAATATAATGGATGCTCAAGAGCTATTGATTTGAAAGAATTTGCCAGTTATGTTTGGCTGGAACCAAAAAATGTCCGTCAGGGTCTATTAGTTCAAGAAACTCTTTGTCTACAGACTAAGACCGCTGATTATGATGAAGAATAGTTAATGTTACTGGATCAAAGGTAATAAGTAGAAGACTCGACTACCCTTGGCAGAGCATTGTGTGATACCAGTATGCAGTGTAATTGGTATATAACAAGACAAACAATGAACTAATAGGTGGGAGTTATTTCCTATCAAAATAATACAACTTGCAGGAACAATAGTGGCACGGCGCCAACTTCCATCTTGACTACATATATCATAACTTTCTAATCAGTTCCTGATTTTCACCTATAGAGGAAGATTTTGCCGCTATCTTAGCAATAATTCCCTCATTGCACACTGCAACAGGATATTGATCTAGACTGACAAATTTTTTTTACCATATTGCACACTGATGGTGTTTTGCTTCGAGTGATTATTTCAGTGGAAAACCAAAATCTATTCCAAATCAAAGCCCTAAAAAAAAAGTCTTGGTTGCTAAGCAACCCCAATTTGCCAAATGGCCACAAAAGCAAAACACAATATACTTACGCATGCAGGTCTTTGCATTCTGCTACTTTTCCAAAAGTTCCCTCTCCTAATGTTCCAACCACTTCATCTGAAAGCAAGATAAAAACCATTCTTAGAATCCGAGCGGAAATCAGGTGGCGCTAAAGAAAGAAATCATAAGAAGGATTAGCGGGCCCAGAAAGGGGTAGGGCTAACATACTTATCAATGCTCTGGGTCACGGTCCTGTTTTCATGTCTTAAAGGTCACAGTCCTATTTTCATGTCCAAAAGGTCACAGTCCTATTATCATGTCTAAATAGTCACGGTACTATTTACATGTCTAAATAGACACGGTAATATTTACATGTCTAAAAGGTCACGGTCTTATGTTCATCTCCAAATGGTCACGGTCCTATTTACATGTCTAAATAGTCACAGTACTATTTACATGTCTAAAAAGTCACAGTCCTATTTTCATGTCTAAAAAGTCACGATCCTATTTTCATGTATAAAAGGTCACAGTCCTATTTTCATGTCAAAATAGTCACAGTCCTATTTTTAAGTCTAAATAGTCACAGCACTACTTTTATGTCTAAAAAGTCACAGTCGGACGTCTGATGAAAATTAGATGGTGTAAATTGATGCTATCAGTGTCCCCGATACATATAAAAATTTTAGAAAACCATTTTACAATCCCTTTAACAATTCCACTTCTGTGATATTCATGAGATTTATGATAGAAAGTTCAAAGTTGAAATTGGCTGATTTAAAGATGAAGGCGTAGATTATGCAGACGGTTTTATTTTAACGGACCAGTTATTGATTTTATTTCCAAATTGTCTGATTTAATCGCAGCAATTTATCAGCTTAATCTTCCCGTTTTACACTCGTAAAATACAACAAAATATCAATGTGTCTGCAAATGCAGCAAGTCATGTGAGAAGAAATAACTGTCGTAAACACTGGCCAAGACATTGAAAGATTTCCTTCAAATTAATCCACTGCCTTAAGTTTAAGGGCACATTGAACACAGGTTGAAATATTTTGTTTGGGTAGTATTTATACAATTTTTATTCCATGACTTTCATATTTTCAGGGTTGAACAATGACATTTTGAAGTATATCTGTGAGAATTTTGAAAGAGATCAGTTAACCAACCGCTCAGACTTTGGGACGTTTTTTTTTCGAACACCCGATATAGAGATTCTATTCTTTAGTCATGACACCTGGTGTCATCCAACTGATGAATATATACACTTATTGACCAAGTTTGAGATTTTAAATTTTATGTCCATTCTAAGAGGTAGTGTTTCTTTAAAGATGGTTTCCTTATTTTTTAGTGTCAAATTAAGCAAACTATTTGATTAATTGGTGTTTCTAATGAATTATCATGTATTCTTAATCATATCATTATGTTCTTATTGCATATAATTAATAGTAATAACCAATCATAAATGTCCATGTATGTACAGTCTGGATAAACAAAAAAAGACTTTCTGACCTTTCTTGATCGGTCACTCATTGGAATTCTGCTGGTAATTCTCTTCTAATTTAGCTAATTATGAATTAATTATGGACATGTGAGACAAACTGGTATTTTTTCAAGTCATTAGAACACCTCTACTTTCTATTCATATAAGTATTAGTATTTATATTTATGAAAATAAGGGAACCCATCTTTAAAGATAAAAGTAAATAGAACTGTCTCAGAAAGTCAGTAAATCTACTGTGACTGACAAGCCATGTCTATCATTTGATTAATGGAGATCAAAGAGTATTAAATTCTTTATCACATGACTCTAGAATCAATAGTGATTGACAGACAATGAGCTGAATTCAAAATCACATTTAAAAGAAATTTAAAGGGACATTCCCCCTTTTTTGTCAGTCGAAAAAAATTTTGGCTCAAATTTGTGAAAACTATACACCAAAATGTAGAGAAATGTGCCCTTTAATATATCTGAAAGTTTTAACTAAAAAAATCCAGCCGTTAATTTTTAAACACCAAAAATATTTAAAAACATTACGTAAGGTTTTTAAGTTCGTTATGTTTTTTGAAAGCTGTTAGAAAACTACTGTACGGATTTGAGTAAAATAAACGCCTAATTGTAGAGAAATATATCTCCTATGTATTCTAAAGATTTCAACTAATAATATCAAGCCATTATAAAACCAAATTACCAAAACAAGGTCAAACTGCTTAATTAACAATTAGTACTCTCTGTTTTTAATTAACCCTTTTAAAACAAATTCAGTTTGATCAAGTAGATACATAGATATAAATAACATACTTTAGAAATATTTTCAGCAATAATCAACGTTTTTGATAATGAAATTTTTTTTTACAAAAAGGTGGAACGCCTCTTTAAACGCAGTTTTCTATAGCTTTTATATTTTTCAGGAGTATATGAATAGCTTCTAGACCATATTCGTTTCTTTACATGACGTCACTTGGTTACAAATGGTGTCTGTGGGTTCTTAACTCGATCAGCGTGAATAGAAAAATCAGTTAGTATAAATAAAAGCTTTGAGAACCTCAAACATACAAAATTTAGAAAATTTCCTTGAATTTTTCCATTTGATTAAATCATTTTAATGTTTCAAGTCAAAATTTCCTAAGTCAACAAAATTACCTAAATTGAAACGAATATTTGTCTACAGCTTTGACAGAAAATCGATTCCGTAATTTTTTTTTTTAAAAGAATTTCTTCTCAGTCTTCCAGACCAATTTAATATTATTTGCATACCTCAGTTGATCGTAAAATTAGCTACTCTGAAATTATTTTTCCTTTTTATGGATATTTGCCCAAATTTGAATTTCTTTTAAAGGGACAGGTTCATCATTTTCGAGGGTTGATTTGAGTCTTGAATATATGTAAATTGTCTTCAGAAGTACTAGAAATGTATGAAAATCACATAATTCCTTTAAAAATATCTCAAACTAGGAATTTTACTCACTATTTCTATAGATGTCTTTTCTATATATGGCAGTGTCTCAAGAAAAGACGAGTCGTCATTTTAACTTTCAAACGCAGATAATTCTGGATACACATGGATTTGAAGGCTCAAATTTCGACAGTGAGCTGTGAACACTATTACTGATTGGCTTTGTGAAAATTAAATTTGCTTTAAAGCTACATCTACACGAGAAAGTTAATCAAGGGCATTTCTTGTTGATGAAAAAGTATGGCTGCAAGCAGGAGTCTTTGCCAGCATGCTTATAAAAAAACCCGTCCAATTTTTTTTCATCCCAAAATGTCCTAAAAAGCATTGATAAGTATGTTAAAATGGGATGGGATTTGATATGGGATGAATTTCCATCCCACTTAAATATCTTCAGAATGGGATTTAGGGCATGGGACAGGCAAAGATAAAGAAATCCTTTAAAACATCCATCCATTGCGTTTCGTAACTGGTAGAGTTACTTTAAAGTATGCAAATTTACTGCATACAAAAGATAATAAATGACTAAATAGAAGGTAATATCATTAATAAGCAATATGATCAAATATAATCAAAAAAAAAAAACGGCGGGAAAAAAAATTTGCCAGACGGCAAATCAAAAAAAAAAAAAAAAATAATCTTGGAGAAAAGAGCCTAACTAAACATTACGAAATTTGTGTACATCGTGTTTGAAGAACATCGCCTTGACGATATATAAGATGGCCGTCACTGTCGTCCTCTACTGATGGTTCTCTTTCAGCACTTTGTCTTCTCTCCTATAATCATCATCATCATCATTACCATCATCATCATCATCGATACAAATCATTAATATTCATCCACCATTGGCAAGTAGTCAACCAATCAGAACCATAGTTTGTAGTGGTTTTTGGTAGTTTCGTATTTTTTTTCGTAAGTGGAAGATTTTTCGTCAGCGACACAGCAGATATGCGAGAGAACAAGGGGAGGCAACACGGTAAAGATGGTGCCAACAAATTTCACAAAATTTTTTTTTCATTTTTCATATTTTCAAGTATGAAAATTGAAAGTGTATTCAAGTATTTGAAAATTGGATATAATTATGAATTATGAATTATTGAATTAAATAATTGAATTAATTTGATTTAATATGAAATTTAGGAAATAAAATATTTTATTCATTACTGAATTAAATTGATCTTATTTGAATTAATTTCATTTTTTGATAAAATCATACAAAAATATGGAAATTCAAAGCAGGAAGATGAAAGAAGCCACCAAAATTTTCACAAATTTTTTTGTCGATTTTGAATCATCTTTGATTAATTTATTCAAAATGAAATGAAATGAATGGAGTTTTACTTCCTACTTTTCTGCAGCTTATTGGATTTTTTTATTCAAAAGCAGTTTCTTTCATCTTAATAGGAATAATTCTCAAGAAACCTTTTGGTATATTCAACTTTAATGGATGTTACAAATTTTACTTTCCCCAATCTTCAACCCATAGACATCAGAAATACAAGAGCTAGAATAATTAAAGGGATTGTAAAGAGGTTTTCTAAATTCTTTATGTGTATCAGGGACACTAATAGCATCAATTTACATCATTCCAATTTTCATTCAGATGTCTGTGGTTCCTGTAATTCCACTAAAACTAAGTGTTTGATGATGTCACTAATAACAAGATATATAAGGGTTTTTTGTGATTAGTCATGTCATCATACACTTAGTTTTAGTGGAATTGCAGGAATCACAGACGTCTGATTGAATTTGAATGGTGCAAATTGATGCTATCAGTGTCCCTGATACACATATAAAATTTAGACAACTCTTAAAACTTCTAGACCTAGGCCAGTGTTTCTGGGGAGAGCACCCTTTATAACACCTTTCTTACAGCATCAACAACAAAGCCCCAAAAACAGAGAGACCTCAAAACCAAGCCTCAAAATTTTCCAATCAAAAAATATATTAAAAAGCGACAATTTACCCCCAAAAAACAGAGAGACCTCAAAACCAAGCTTCAAAATTTTCCATTAAAAAAATTAAACTCGTTAAAAAGCAAGAAAAAAAAAACCCAAAATAGTGAGACCTCAAAACCAACTTCAAAATTTTCCACTAAAAATCGTTAAAATGCAACAAAGATATCAGTTTGGATAATTAGAAGAGGAATTCGATCTATCAAGAACTTCACACCTAATTTCTGAAAATAACCCTAATTCATGACGAAAATATCAACACCAGCCAAGAAAGCTTCATTAAGTTTGCCAAGTTTTTAAACACCTACCTACTCTTACCATTTTTTTCAACAACAGTGACATCGACTAGATAAGATTTCAGAATACGTTTATATGCAACACAAATTGCCTTGAACAGGTTTAGATAAAGCTATTACAAACTGTGTCTTATACCTTGACTTCATTAGAGTATTTTGTTGTATCACAGAAGTTAGCAAATGGAGTGATTTGATTGGATTGCAAATACAGCCAATCATAGCCCTCAACACAAAAGACTTAGAGCCTAAAATTTCAAATTTGTGTTTTATACCACGAGAAGGCACATCTTCACAAACTGTGTCTTATACCTTGACAACATTAGACTATTGGCTTGTATCACAGAAGTTAGTATATGCAGTGATTTGATTGGATTGTACGCTAGCGTATCCAGCCAATCAGAACCCTCAACACAAATTTGTGTTTTATAACATGAGAAGGCACATCTTCACGATGTCAAGTTATTACAAACTGTGTCTTATACCTTGACCTCATTAGACTATTTTCTTGTATAATTTGATTGGATTGTATGCTAGCGAATACAGCCAATCACAGCTCTCGACAGAAAGACTTTAAACAATTGGCTACATGTGTAATTGGGGGCTCTGATTGGCTGTACAATCCTGCATCCTCGGAACACAGTATTTAGCACTTAAGTACGAGCGAACCAAATAATAAAATAACTGAATGAATATTCATGAATATTCATGAATGACATTTAAAATTGTGTCTAAAATAACCAAGTTATGAAAACAATAAACTTGGAATGATATCAAAATTGTGAAAATCTGTTTATTTTTTTAAACCACCATAAACACTTTTCAAGTCTGAATCATTTTTCTACCAAAATATACTCAAATGATGCCCAGATCTACTTTTATCTTCTCAATGAAGAAACCTTCCCAAAAAGTCAAAGGGTGGTTGAAAAAAATTGCGATTTCTTTAAAAAAATATCATGATTCAGTTAGGTTTGAGAAACATAACATAATCTACACGTCTTTTCAAAAATAGAGTTAAAGCCTACTCAAGCTGATTAAAGAATTTGGAAATTTCATTTCTATCAGATAAAAACTGAAAATTTTGACGTGTTTTTCATAAATCAAGGGCAATAACTCAAAAACTTTCAACGAAAGATCGTCAATTTCGAACTTGTCTAAGATCTCATCATTATAATAGATCACACCAAGCCTACTCAAGCTAATCAAAGAATTTGGAAATAAAAGCTATGAGGCCTTGAAGTTAATTTGTTCACTATAAGAAGAGAAAATGTCTAAGAGGTTCTCCTTGCATCAAACCCATTTGTTTAAAAAAAATTGATGATAGATGCAATAGGATCTCTTTCAGGGAAACTTTTTTTTCGATATATTCTTTGTAAATTCATTGCCACAATACATTAAAAGACTAGGACTAAAATGGTCTCCTTGCCTAAATCCCTTAACATATTAAAAATATCAAAATTTTCAAGCCACGAAACTTGGGCTACATATTTTTAGTAAATTCATTACCAAAATACATTAATAGACTAAGGCTAAAATGGTCTCCTTGCCTCATTGCCTTACCATATTAAAAATATCAAAATTTACAAGCCAGGAAAATGGGGCTACAGATTTTTTTTAAGTAAATTCATTACCACAATACATTAAAAGACTGGGACTAAAATGGTCTCCTTGCCTCATTCCCCTAACAACCATATTGGAAACATCAAAAGCTGTAGGCTAAAAAATAACAATCAAGGAACCATGGGCTCGATATTTTAGTAAATTCATTACCACAATACATTAAAAGACTGGGACTAAAATGGTCTCCTTGCCTCATTCCCCTAACATATTAAAAACATCAAAAGCTATAGGCCAAAAAATAACAATCAAGGAAACTTGGGCTAAATATTTTTAGTAAATTCATTACCAAAATACATTAAAAGACTAGGACTAAAATGGTCTCCTTGCCACATTCCCCTACCAACCATATTGGAAACATCAAAAGCTGTAGGCTAAAAAATAACAATCAAGGAACCATGGGCTCGATATTTTAGTAAATTCATTACCACAATACATTAAAAGACTGGGACTAAAATGGTCTCCTTGCCTCATTCCCCTAACATATTAAAAACATCAAAAGCTATAGGCCAGGAAAACAACAATCAAGGAACCAGAAATAGATAAATGATAGATAGAATGGAAATTAATATCTTACAGCTGAATGGAAGAGCCAGGGGGTAACTTGATCTTCCATTCCATCTGTCTATTCCTTCATTTCATTTATCTATTTTTACTATCTCTCTATTCCTTCACACCTTAACTCATTTCCTCAGCATTTACATTATTTTCTCAGAGTTTTTAATGATGAAATATTGCTTAAGCATATTTGATGAAAATGGATTCCCTAAAATTGGATTTGCTTTACTTTTTAGAAAAAAGTTCGGAAGCAAATTTGAAAACTTGTACAAAATACAAATTGAAAATCTAAAAATTCAGTAAAACAATCAACGAAAAAACAGCTGATTTATGAAGATGATAACAATTTATGATAACAGCTTAATCAATTATCCATCTGCTATCCATTAACCCCCCTTCTACTCCTTAATTAGACTGAAGCAATAAACCAACAGGGTTAAGAATTTAAGGTTTACTGTTACATTGAACAGAGCTTGACCATACATGACCATTTTAAAACTGGATCTAGCCATAAATTTATTTTGGGTGCATTTTTGATATGTTTGGAACACTTGCAGATAAAAGTTGAAGCCATGGTCTTTGGCCATCATTCCAAAGAATTTATAATCTAAATTTTTTTAAATTATTTGATAAGTTATTTCATAAATGGCAAAATTATCAATTAAGATTTCTTGAAAAATGTTGGTTTCATGCCTAAGCTTAAAATTTACTAAAAAACCAAAATTAATGTTCATTTTATTGCCTTACTATTCTGAAAAGCTGGTGCTAATGAAACCATGTACAATGAGGGAAATTTTGACAATTGAAGGTTGTTTTGATTTTATGTATTTTTCGATTTCTTATATTTGAAAAAGTTATGGCATTTTCTACAGATAAGCTCTCATACCAGTTTCACCAAATACAAGATAGACAAGCAATGCTAAGCAGTGTGCAATGGTGAAAAGGATCTCTTTTGATTTAGATTTTGGCCAATCCAGATCACTGGCTATTATGATCTAGAGGCTCAAAAAATAAGCTTGGATGGAATTTTCACAAAATATGACATGTCCCAGAAGATATAAATGAAACAAAAACTTCAAAATAATCCATTAAACTGACAGACAACCTTATATAACCTATCCGAAAACAGAAACCATAGTAACTCGTAATAGCGCAAACAAAATGGCTGCCTTTCCAGCTGATATTTCATCAACAAAAATTCTGATCTGGATTCAGAAGAACAGCCTCAAAACATCCTTTGAACCAAAAGAAGCACAAAGACTTATCTAATCCAATGATATAAGAAATGAGAAATCACCACGGCAACACAATACTTCACGTCTGCTATGAAAACCAGAA